TGTTACCAAGGGCTCAAATAGAAAGAAAATGTTTTGAAAATAATGATGGCAACAAATGTGCTTGACACAATGGATGGATTTTGATAAGAGTTGCGTGAGACCCCAATAAAACCCCAATAAAAGAAAATGTTCTAAAATTAATTGCTGTGATGACTGTATTACTGTTTAACATGGTTAAGTATTGAACTGTCTTGTATTTGAGTTGTATGCCAATGAACTGCTTCAAAAAGGACGACCTCGCAGTCCACTTCTGAGAAGTCAGTCAGTGAAACCCACGTATCACTATGTCCTGCTGATCGTGTCGAGCAAGGCGCCTCCAAGAGCCAGAGGCAACGTAACAGCAATCACAACAACGTATTTATAAACTCGGAAAAGTGTACACAACCTACTGGATGAATGAGGTGAGTTAGTGATACAGTATTCTTTACTACTATTACATAAAGTTTTATATAGGTACCCAGACATGTGTCTAACTTTATATGCTAAGAGGCCCTGGAGGTACTGTGGGTTAGTCTGATAATCACAAATTCTGTAAACCCACCAGCTGCTAAGAAGGAAAAAGATGAGGCTGTCTGCTCCCATAAAGATTTACAGTCTCAGAAAACCTATGTAAGATTCACTATGAGATGGAATCAACTCGATGGCAGTGCATTTGATTTTATTTATATGCGTGATTTTATTTATATGTGTTTGATTTTATTTATTTTATTTATCTTGCAGATGGTCATAATGGTAACTGATTATCTTAAAAGAATTGTTTTTTCAAAAATTTCTCAATAATTCCTATGTTACATAGATTTATAAGCAAGCATTGTTTTATAAGGAAGAAAAATCTATTTTTCATCTTGAAGCATGTACGACAGAGAAAGATTATAATAAAGATTATTCAAAGTACAAAATCCCATAACGGAAATGAGAAAAGGGGAGTATCTGATTTTGTGCTTACTTCCCAACAAAATCATAGAAGAGAGGTAACGCATCCCTACGGAATGTGCTTGCTCTGAGAGGTCACTGAACACTATCAGGCCACACAGGATCCTACATACAGAGCACTGGTGACGCAGTGCTTCCGTCCTTGGCTGCTAACTGAAAAGTCTGTGGTTCAAATCCACCACCTGTTTGTTCCCTGGGAGAAAAATGTAGCAATCTGTCTCCAGAAAGATTCCACAATGGAAAAAAAAAGGCCTAAACTACGTTGAGTGGATTTAGGGTCAGAGACTTACCCGGTGGGGTAGAGCTGCCCCCTAGGCTTCCCAGTCTATAGTCTTTATGGAAGCAGACTGTCCCCACTTTCCTCCTGTGGAGCAGCTGGTGGGCTCGAGCCACCAGTTCCGTTAGCAGCTACGCGCCTACCCACTGCACCACCACGGCCCTTCCCCGAAGGGCACAGCCTTGGAAATCCCGTGGAGCGGTCTGACGCGCAGGCTGCCAGTCGGTCTGCGCTCCAGCAGACTCGACAGCACCAGGCTTAATCCTATGGACTCCACATGGCTCCTACCTTCGGCTCCCTCCTGCATTCGCATTCTGTTCAGCCTCTTATGCTGCTCTCGGAGCAGGGCTTGCTGCTGAATCTCCAGGGTCTGATGGTCTCTTGGAGGCTCCGGGTACATAAATTTCAGATCAACCCGTGTCTCTGAATCTGGTACAAGAAAGAGTTATTTGGATAAATTAAATCTTGTTTCCTGGTGAGATTTCCCAAAGTTCCACTACAGAGCATAAGAGTAACAATCCCAAAATCAAGGAATAATATACACCATGGGCTTAAGCATAGCCATAAAACTAAAGAGCATAAAATTAACTTTCCTGCAGTAAGTGCCTTTACACAAACTTAGCAACATTCCAAGGAAATCTCCAGAAAGAGTCTCCAGGAAGCAGCTGTGGATATATCCTCCATTGCCAGCCCCCTCCCCCCCTCCCTACTGGACACTGCCCAGAACACGTGGGGGTGGGGGTGGGGGGCAACATGTCCATATGCCTGATCTCTGAAGAAAAGCCACACATTCCAAGGAGCGAGGAGGACCCGGGCATGCCATCAGACATAGTTCACACTCATTTCAAAATAATATGCAGAAAGCAAGGTCAATGCAGACTGGCTGGAACCTGAGCAGGGGTGCCACCACGGGGAGAAAGGTGCAGGTGACAGTCAGGAACTGCCACAAGCTCAAGAATACCAACTGCTGACAATGGAAGTGTTAGACATCCACCTTTAATCTTTACAGTAACAATATAGTTCATACATTTAAAAAGTTTGAAAATCATATCCCCTTTGACTAATTATGGAAAAAGACTGGCTCCCTACTCCCGGAAAGAGTTACAGTCTCAGAGACACCACAGGGGCAGTTCTACCCTGTCCTATAGGGTCGCCATGAGTTGGAATCCACTCCGTTGCCGTGAGTTTGGTGGTGGTGGGTTTTACTGGGTGTTTTTTTTTTTCTTGACCCATTAATTATTATTCTAAATATATAAAAAGCATCATGATCCCACAGACCAGGGATGTGAATAGTCTTCCTAACATGCAGAATGCATTTGAAAGTGGATTATGAAAAAAAAAGAAAGTGGATTGTTGCAGATGCAGTCAGGTTAAAATTTAGCACCTTATCATTGAATTTTCCTTATGATCCATTTAAATTTGTTCCAGTTTTTAATATTTTCTGCTTTCTTTTCTATTGAGATCTTTACCTGTTTTACTTTGTTATTCTTGTTCCTTTTTTCACATTTTTTTTTTTTACCGTTTTTCCCGTATATGAGATCCAGGATAAGTAAATCTATAGCGACAGTAATGTGATTAATGGTTCTTTGGGGGTATGGCAGGGGAGGCTGGGTGGAAATGATTTGATAATAACGATGAGTCCAAGAATGAAAAAAATGTTTAAAAACTGATTCTGGTCTTGATTGTACAACTCTTCTTAATGCAATTGAACTATTGAGTTGTATGATATGTGAATGCCAATGAAACTGTTGAATAAAAAAACAGCAGGATCTAATAAAATCAAAAGAATGTTATGTAAATGGGAAACACCATGAATAATCCAAGAATTTGAAAATGGGCAACAGCAACTTGTATTGGCTGATAGAAGAGGCTCTGGAGACAGGACTTTGCTGTTGGTATCTCTTGGTTTCATAGTTGGGGAAAGTGAGTCTGGAAGGGGGGAAGGCAGAGTCCAACCCAAGTTTCTACGTGGACTAGACAGGGAAATGAATGTTCCCCAGTATTTAATGGCACAAGACAGCAACGACACACTGTGTAGTCTCCCAGAGTCAAGTCTTATCTTGGTAATTCTTCTCCCTAGTAAATGTTCCCCTCCTTCCTCTAAATTGTTACATCAAATCTTCTCTGCTCTCAACCTTCAGTTCCTGGCAGTTTCCTCCTGCCTACTCAGGGGCCCTAGTCTCTTCAACAGTAACCATCTCCATCTGCTCTGCGTCCAACACCTTATCCCCCTAATCCATTCCTCATCCCCAAAGTTAATTGACTTCTGTTTCCATAACTCCACTAAAGAAATCACCAGTGACTTCTGATCTGACACCTTCCAATATTCACCTTCACTCTGTTTCCTGGGCTTTCAATTGTTCAAAGATAGCCCATTCTCCACTCCTGCTTCTCCTGTTTCTCCTCCTTAGTCTGTTTCATTAGTTCATCTTACTCTGTCCATCCTCCAATTAAATGCCAAATTCCATTCTCCCCAGGAGTCCCCAGGTGGTAGAAAAACACCTGACTGTAAACCCCAGGGCTGGAGGTATCTCAGAAGAATGTCCAGGCAAGATGCTTCTGAAAGGTCAGAGTCAGGAAAACCCTACGGAGCACAGTTCTTCTCAGAATCAACTCACAGGCAACTGTCCATTCTCCATCCACACTGCTCTGTGCGACCTAACGCTCGCCCAGGCTTTAAAAACAAAAGTGCTCTCCCAAAGGAAATATTTTGCCAAGCTGATGCTTCATCTACCAGTCTGGTAGAGTAAAGAACTAGGGAATAAGGAAGTTTATTCATCAAAATTAAAACTATACATCATGAATAAAATTTCACTTTGAAAAAGGGTGTAAATATCTTTAAGGATACTTAAAATATTCCCAAAGGATCTTTAAAACAGCAGTATTACATTTACCTCTATCTTTCAGCTGATTAAAGTCATGAATATTCTGAAAACTGGTGGAGTCGAAGCCCTTAGGAGAGGGTCTTCTGACCGGAGCCTGCAGCCGATGCCTGGCCATGTCAAATATATCCATGGGGTTCCTGTCTCTTTTCCTATAAATAAGCAACAAATTATGATGAATACACTTTATGGGGGAAAGTGAGTAACATTTAATCGATTTGATATCTATCACTACATGTATTATCGAAAATTATTCTAATAGTGCATTTCAATCCCTTAGATTAAAAACAAGAGTATTTACAAAGTGTTTGTGAACTTTCAAAATCTCAAAATGAGAGCATAACAATTTAGGATGATCTTAAAATGATCATGAAGCAGACAGATCACAGGCTGAGACAGTAAAACTGACATCCAAAAAACAGCTCTGCTATTTACAATCTTTTTGGCCTTGATTTCAACACTTGTGAAATGCAGACAATATCTTCTGCTTACCTTTTTATATTTTACTCTACCTGAAACCCAAGGTGGTGAATCTACACAGACAGTAACTGGGATACTAGTTTCTATAGATAAGGCAGGGGAGCTGGGGGTAGGGGGGGAGGGGAGGGGAGAGAATGAGCTATGAGCAAAAGAAAGAAGAAAAATGTTCCAAAATTGATTGTAGTAATAACTGCACAACTAATATATTTAAACAATTGAGCTGTATGACAGCATTATACGTCAATAAAACTATTAAAATTATTTAAAACGTCTTTTGTTGACAGTGTCATTGTGAGTAGTGAGTTAGATGAAATAATATACTTTAAAGGATTCAGTGTAGTGCCTGATAGATATCAGGTACTCTCCCTAGAACAGAATTTGCAGAGAGAAAATGCAGAGGTCCATATAATGAATATTCAAGACAGCCCCTATCATTAAGTTGACAACGGGATTTCACAGAACTTGGTACCTAATTAGTTAATTAACAATTTTCCTGTACATCTAAGAAATTAACATACATTACCATAGTTTCTGAAGAGTTTCCTACTCAGGCCTTGGGGGAGTGATAAGAGAGAGCACAGTATCAGTGCACCATTCCTTGTGTATCTTTCTCGTTCTTGCTATTTCTAGCCTTGAAAATAAAATAAATCCAAGTGTCTAATGCTGCATGCCTCCACAGTTGGCAGGCTTCCTCTATTTGTGAAAAAGTAGCTACAACCTTAAAAGAGCCGGCCACCGTCTTCCCAGCATTTCTCTAAAGGGTCCAGCAGGCAACTCCCCTGCTCTGATGGGGTTTCCTTTGTGGAGGGATTTACCGAGCCCATCAAACAACTCTATGAAGGCTGACACTGACCTCTAATAATCTCTGAAGGTGATGTGAGCAGCAATGCAGATTCCTTAAAATGCAGAACAAATACTCCAAAGGCTTTTGGAAGACCATTATATCAGACTCCAGCCTGTTTCCATTAAAGTTAATGCTAACCGCAAAGTGTGGTGAAGAAAACAGACGGTGCCAGGCTACCCGAAAGAATAGCATCTGGGGTCTTAAAGGCTTGTCTTAAAACAAGCAGCCATCTAAGTGAGGTCTCAGCTAATTCCACCCGGAAGGAGCATACCAGCCTGTGTGATACGAGGATTGTAATTAATAAAATCCAAGATCAGAGGTGGGAACCGTAGTAAATTCTTATCACCCAGTTTGCCCAAGGCTATGGATGACAGTGAAAGCCCAAAATCCAATTGCAGAGCCCCCATGAGGATTAAGCCTCCATTGAGTGTCACTGATTCACAAACTGTCCATCCTAAAGACTGAACTTGAATGCACCCAACATTGATTTTTCACTAAGTCTAATCCTTTAAAACATTTCACGGTTAAAGATATTTTTGTTTTCCTTCATGAAAGTGTTACTTCTTCCTGATTCCTTTCCCCTTCATACCCCCTCTGTCTTGATGATGGTCAGCAGCATCATCACTATGAACATGCGGGCAATCCAGAAGGGAAATGTAGGATTTCAGTATTTAAATATATAATACACTCAGTAAAGATTAATTTACAGGTGCCATACACTTGTATGACTGAAGTCAATAAATGTTGAGAGATGCCTTACATAGGTACTTTTAAATACACTTATATAAGATTTATCTAGACTTCTTCAGGGAATAAGGATGTTTCCGTTATTACAACTTCATCAGTAACTCACTGAAAACATTTTCAAGCATGCAAACTCTCCATTCTAATAAAGGTCGCTCTACCAAGAAACATGAATGAATTCTGTTCCAAACCTCTCACACTGCTGACAGCTTCTGACGACTGACAGGATTTCTCATTCTGATAAGACCAAAGAAAACGTTTCTCAAGAAAAGCTGAGAAAGGTGGCCGGAAACTTGCCTCATGTGAACATCATCATCACTGTCCACGTGCAGCAACCGCCCCTGTAGACGCCTCTCTTCACTACGAAGCTGTTTCCTCATTTCTGATAACTCCATGATCACATTTTTTTTCTCCTCTTCACATGCCCATTGATAAGTAAAAAATCAGATTAAGTAAAGATTAATAAAATATAATGTACCCTATCATAAAGTTAAGATGCTCGATAAGAAATTCATGAAAGGTATTTTTAATGAACATATACATATATTAATGAACATTAAGACCTATAAAAAAAACCTTCATGATAATATAAGAAAATTTTCAAACTAACTTTCAAAGCTAAATCTTTATGGGGAGTGAGAGTACAACTATTAACAGGCAACGTAAGGAATTCCAACAGACAATTCTGTCTCTTGATCATGGCAGTGGTCACATGAACATTGCATATGCTAAAATTGCCAGGAACTATACACAAGGACACACATACAAGTGTCTGTCAAAGTGGTAAAATCTGAGAGAGGGCTGCTGAGTGCACCCTTTGTCAATTCCTGTTGTGACATGTGCCACGTACCATTGAGGGGCACTGGGGAAAGGATATATGGGCCCTCTTTTTACTTGTTTTTACAACTTTCTGTGAGTCCATAATAAAGTTATATTTAGAGACGACAATAAGACTGGCCCCACCACGAGACACGACATCCCTCACTGACCCATAGCGCTACAGGGGACAACACTGGAGACAGTGCACAATTTTTGCCCGATCTGATCCCCCCACAAACACTGAGGTGAAACAGTAAGGGCAGGCAACGGAGCAGCAAGGGGAGCAAAGAGGTTGAGATTCCCGGGAAATACCAAAAATGGACTTTGGGGACAGTGTGGCACCCCATCAGACTCGACAGGAAAACACTCCTAAAGGTCAAACAACTGAACTGGTACTATTTATAGGCAAGTCTACACCGTAGGTTTAACAGTCCAGCACACCTTCTGCACGGAGCTGATTTTTCCTGGCGGGAACCGGAGGAGACTGCGCCCGGGACATGGAGCTCTCCTATTGAACAACCACACAAGGAAGGAGTCATTTGTTACGTAACTATATCTCTATCTATATATAAAAATATACTGTTATATGAAATAGATAGACATAGGAAAGCAAACTCCTCACTATGCTGCCTAAAAATGTACCTATATCCTGATCTATTCTTTCCTCTCATCTCCAAGGAAGAGGGCGGAGCCCTTGCTCCTACCCAAAACGCCCTTCACGTCACTCTGGCTTTCCTTTCTGCCATCAATTACTCTTTCTCATTTCTTCCTTTCCTTCAGCACCTGCTTCTCCTTCTATGTGTGAGCATCTCCCCTTTCTTTAAATCAAACACAACTGTATCTTCCCATTCTTTATTCACTATCCGGTCTCAAATCTCTCCTGCCCTTTCTAACCTGAGCCCCTCTGCAGGCAGCACGTGGGCGGGCTGTGTCCTCGTTAGGCTCACCGCTCGTCACACAGCCACTGCTTTTGCTTCTGCCCCGTCATTCCACTAACTGTGCTCGCATCAAAATCGCCAGGTTAATCCACAAAGGGCACATTCCATAATGGGCATTTTAAAATCCGTTTTGCTTGGCCGATGGCAATTGATAGCATTATCATTGCCTGACACCTCCTCAGTCTCCCATTTCCTTTTCCTGCTTCTCAGATGTTAGTAATCCACCAATGTTCCAGTCTTTGCCTTTCTCCCTTCCCCTAGTTACTCCCACAAATCTGACAAGCACTGACAGGCTTCTGCAAAAGCATGTAACTTGTCTCCATGTTTACAGCTTCATGCTGTCTCCACACCCCATCTCTCTCTCCTTCCTTCTCATCGCAGGAGGAGGGTGCAGCCCGAGAAGGTGGTACAAGACAGAAGAGGCTTTGTCATCCTCCTGCTTACAGGACAGCAGTGCATGCGGCCCATGCATTCTCTAGCATCAACCTATGAACCTATGAGACACAGCAAGGGGTTTCTTTGCCTCATCTGCTAAATAGTCTGTTAGGAAACCAAAAAACCAAACCAAGCTCACTGCAATCCAGTCAATTCTGACTCACGACAACCCTACAGGACATAGTAGAACTGCACCTGGGGAGGGGGAGTGTTTACAAATTTATAACTCTTTGAGGGAGTTAGAAAGTCTCATCTTGCTCCTGCAGGGCACCTGGTGGTTTCAAGCTGCTGACCTTGCAGATGGCAGCCCAACTCGTAACCAGTAAGCCACGAGGGTTCCTTAGGAACCCAATCGTCTATGGAATAAAGTTAAACTTCTCAGTCCTCCATACAACATCCTGCATATTCCTGACCTCCATGCCTTAGTTCACAGGGATAATCGGGCCACAGCAAACCACAGGGTATGCTCCCCGGGTACCATGCTTGCCAACACATCCCTCTGTGCCTCTGCAAATGCCAAAAGCCCTACACCCCCCTTTTCTTCATGGCAGATGGCTACTCAGTTTTCAAGACTTAACTCAAGGATCAATTTCTCTGAAACACATTCCCTGCTCTATTGTAACTTCATTGTTAGTACAGCCAGAGCTAGCTACAAGGGACCCACTATCAACGAAACGGCTTTCTTAAAGGGCCCAGAAAAGAGCCATTTGCTACAGGACCAGTGGTGTGAGTGGCGAAACAGGGAGGGTAAAGGGAGAGTGGGTAGGAAAGAGGGTACCGATTACAAGGAACTATATGTGACCTCCTCCCCGGGGGACAGACAACAGAAAAGTGGGTGAATGGAGACGTCGGACAGGGCAAGATATGACAAAATACCAATTTATAAACTATCAAGGGCTCATGAAGGAGGGGCAAGCGGGGAGGGAGGGGAAAAATGAGGACCTAATGTCGGGGGTTTAAGTGGAGAGAAAATGTTTTGAGAATGATGTATAAATGCGCTTTACACAATTGATGTGTGTATGGATTGCGATAACAGTTGTATGAGCCCCTAATAAAATGTTGTTTTGTTGTTTTTTAAAAAGAGCCATTTGCTACATCACGACGTCTGAGAAAGATTTACACATTAGAGCACTAAATACTACCAGCTACAACTGAAGCAAGTTACTGGAGACATCGCTCGGACACACGGGGTCCCTATGAGTTGGGGCCCACCTCCACCAACCTACAGTTCAGGTCTGAAAATATTTAACCTAGCTACATAAGATGTGAAAAAGCAGTCTCATTTAATCCGACTCAATCCACAATCGCTGAGCTAAGATCTAAAATCAGCAAATTCAAAGAAAACATATATATACCCGAATAAAGGAATTTATGATGCTGTCAACTGAAGGAGGTCTTTGCAGTTTGCTTGAGATTTTGTTCTGGAGAGCAGGGACTGCCGGAGAAGGCTGTCTCAAGTGCTGAAAACAAAGGGGGAGAAAAGAAGAAGAAACAGATAAATACTATATGGTGTATGTATAGTATATATAAATATGTGGATGTGTATGCTCATATACATACAAAAAATCTATGATATTTATATAAGACTTTCTAAGAAGGGTGGGCTGTTACTGTGTTTAACACATTTTATGAAAGTGTCAAATTCAAGCATATGATAGAACTTGCACCCAAACCTGTGCAAGATGCAAGGTGGAAATCTGTCAAGAAACAGAAAACCAAACTATTTCCGACGAACAAAGAGCCATGGAAAAGTGGGGAGACTTCACCATCACAGACAGAACATCTGAAAGACCCAGAAAAATAACCCCTCCTCATCAAGCTCAGGCTCTCACAGGTTGTGCTGTCTGGATGGTGCATGTAGTTAACTCTCTGAGCCGATGAAAGTAAAGTTGGAGGTTCCATTCCACCCAGAGCACCCCGAAAGAAAAGCATGATGACCTACTACCCCATGACCAACCCTGAAAACCCTCTGGAACATACTTCTACTCTGACACACATGTCCACCATGCATCCGGATCAAATGGACGAAAAGATATGAGTATCAGATTTTCTCTCTCTCCGCCATCGAGTCAATACTGGCTCATAGCAACCCTCCAGGGACAGGACAGAACTTCCCCTATGAGTTTTATGGGCGTAGATAGTCCCCCCTTTTTCCTGGGGAGCTGCTGGTGGTTTCAAACTGCCAACCTTCTGGATTGCAGCCCAATGCATTACCACTACACCAATGCTAAGTATTAGGATTGTTTTTTATTTTTTTTAAAGATCATACTAACTGTATTAGTCTGGGTACTTTGGAGAAACAAATCCAC